ATTATTATTATTATTATTATTATGTGTGATTTACCTTTTTGTAAATAATTGATTCAATGGCTACCTACTACCAGTAGGTGGCGGTATACCTTTGTAATGCACCGGAAACACAAAGTCCTTGAAGTTCTGTCCCTTTAATGGTTTGAGTGTTCTGATTGGTTGTCGCAGTTAGCACATATTCAGCTTGTATATCGTAAAAGAATAGCTTTACATAGGCGAAACTTCGGTATAAAAGTACAATTGTTTAGTTAGACTCTATCGTACAGGAAAATGGTGCCACTAATGAAAAATGCCATGTTGTAGTGTTAATGACTTTGGTAGCCACAAAAAAGCGGAATTTTTCAAATAAGCTAACCTTCGTGACAGTCAGCTAACAAGACAAGTCAAAGGTAATTGTTTAAATTAGCGAGTTTTAGTCCTTTGTTTACAGTAAATTACAGATAGACGACAAGAGCTATGGCCATATGTTTTATTGACTGTTTTAATGCCAATAACGAAGGAACAATTATCTTGAAAACGTAAATGATTTCCTTTTCTTGTTCATTTCTGTTGCAGCTTTATTGTAAAACAAGCTTTCTACCTTTTCTGATTGAAAATGATGAGAAAACCCAGAGCCACAACAGCCAAAGTTTCAAACTACAACGAAAATGAAAGTCTGGACTCAGAGTTGTAAGTTATCTTTACAATTTTAAGCAAACATTTTTACCAACAAATAAACAGTTGCATTTTTTAAATATTGTTTTATATTTCTGGATTGTTATCTCATTTTCTAAACGTAATGCTCAAAGTAAAAACATTCAATATTTCAATTATGATGTATTTTGCTAATTTCCCACTTTGTTTTCTTCTTCCCCATCAGGTCTTTTCGTCATGCATCCAGTATTGATGATGAGGATGCCGACGAGTGGAGGCCTCCAGAGCCAAAACCTCCCAGCAAGACTGCCAGAAGCACTGCAGCCGGGACGAAGAAAGCAGCCGCCAAGAGAACGACTAAACCAAAAGCTCCCAAAGAACCTAAAGTGTCTCAAAATCCTAAACAACGTGTATCACGGAAACCTAACGCAGACCAAAAAAATCCAGTCTCCAAACTAAATAATTCTACTGTATCTTCGTTAGTTGGGACAAAGAGAAAACAGTCTGAGAGGTTTGATGACAATAAAGACAATACAGAGTCTGGCAGTCCAGAAGAAGGAAGGGTTGGCGAGAGTGGTTCCAATATTAGAATGAAGGCAGAGGTAAGTTTAATTTATATTTCAGTACAAGTATACATGTTCTGATTTATAATTTAGATTATATGCAGCATTTTCTTCTCCTAGGAGTATAGTGTATCAAAGTGAACAAAAACATACGTCCCATTGTAGTTATAAATACAACACAGTTATGCAATAAATGTCATGGGGAAAATTGCCATAAATGACGTAAAAATAATGTTTAGGTGGACTGGAACATTTCATAAAAAATAAAATAAAAACTTTGCACTATAGGTGATGGCTTTCAGATATTTTAATAGATCAGATATACTTGTGCTAATAATCTTTAGCATTTTATTTTTGTCTGTTTTCTTATTTCTACTTTATTTTCAATTCTCTTTTGTAGAGGGTGTCGTTTATTGTGTCAGAAGCCCACGGGACAGATGAATTGGCTGGTGAAGGGTCATCACGAGCTGGGTTTCAGGTAAAGAAAGAAGAAGCAGAAGCAGCGGAGGACGACTTTACGTTTGATGAGTCTTGTTTAAAAAGACGGAAGACCGATGACACCAACCAGGGACAACGGGCAACTTTACCAGAGTCCAAAGCACAGCCACTGAGGAATGAACTCATGATGAACTGGGATATGACAGAGGTATGACAGGGCTACTGAGGTACCTTCACTTTTGTCAAGTGAATTAAAAAAAAAACAGTGCAGCTATTAGCTTGTCTGACCCTTATTAATACATTTTGATGGTAATCCACAGGATAACCATGAAAATATTAGTTGTCATTTGCTAGCAACTTCTGAATAGTTTCATGTAGTAACACTAAAAACACCACATGGGTATTTTTTTTCTAATTTACACTTTACGTAATTTGAAGAAACATTATAAAGATTATATATGCAAAGTGTTTTTGTTTTAAGGTTATTTTTTTCTCTCTAAATTTTTCTACTCTTATATGTAAATTTTATTTCTTTCTGCTGTCCTCCTCAGCTACTTTCCACCCTGGCATGTGCAGAAAAATGGGTTTGCAGAAATATCATTACGCTGCTACTTGAGGAAAATACAGTTCCCTTTATAGTGCGCTACCGCAAAGAGATGATCAACCACATGGATGCGGATGCTGTCCGGGATGTCAAGATGTTATATGAAGAGTTATGGTAGGTAAATATGAATATAATAGAGAGAGAAATCATAAACAAAGTAAGAGCTCTATTTTTGTATTTTTTTTTTAGTATAATTGTCTTTGGCCACTAGATGGTGTTAGTGGCCAAGCTATAATACTTGCTAGTGTTGGTTTATAATCAGGGTTGCACATAAAATTTTTGGTCTGGTTCTCAGGGGAGAACCTAGGGTTGTTGCTTGGTGCTCATATGTTCCTTAACTCATTTAACACATTTATCTAGAGGGGCATCAGGACATTTAATATCGCCCTGTTCTGTTTTATGACTCCTATCAGCTGCAATGTCTCAGGACATCATGCCAAATCAGTCCACCAAGTTTTTTATTAAATTTTTTTACTCTACATAAATTTTGTAAACTACCTAAGTGGCCAAGAGGCTGGGTGTCTGCCATATAAACATCACAAACTGAACATTTTAGACTACACATGTCACTCAGATGGACAACTCTTGTAGTTTGGTCTTCTGGATCTTTGGCCTTGTTTAAACCAGCTTTCCAGACTCTCCAGTCCAAGCAGCAAATAGCTGTCTTTTGCACAGTGCAAAAATAACTTCAAACATACAAATGTTTTATTTGTTAGACTGATTTATTTTGTGGATCTTTATGATAAATTAAAATAACATTTAAAACCCATTCACCTAGAGAACATGGCAAGTTGTTTTTATTTTTTTTAATATATATAATTTTTTTGACGGGGGTGATGTTAAACAGAATCATCTTTGCTTTAATATGGGGCAAACGAATGTTCTGTTAGAGTTAATGTGGTTTAATTGGAAGAACTCAAACAGTGAATCTCACAGAAAGACAGCCTGCACGCGCAGCGACACGCTCCCATCACAGCAGTCTCTCATCAGCAGGAGTTTAGTCGCTCACACAAGGTTGGACAGGTCTGTTCGACAACGACGCTCTGAACATATATTTAATATAAAGTTATGTTTTACAGACCAAAGTCTCTGGCAGTTCAGGAGCAAAGTGCAGGGGGAGATGTCAGGACTGATCGCTGCAGCCGCTGCTTCAGTCTGCACATCTCTGCTGAAAACTGCTCTCACTGAAAGTCCCGCCCTGCTCTGCTCTGATTGGATAAAACAGCTCTGGACTTCGTCTGATTCGTTGAAGGCAGTGTCCGTTCAATCCTTGCATCAGCGTCCCGCTGCCCTTAGAGGCTTTGTGAACCCTGAACAATGATCCAGTCACACCAGTGCAGGCTGGATTTTTTATTTTATTTTTTAAGAAATCAGGTCGCATTTGTGACCAAACTGGTCGCACTCTAGAGCCCTGCTAGCTGTTGGTTTGACAGACAATCTCAGGTACAATCTTAGGTACGCGAGTGAGCTTTATGATGTTCCATCTGGTGTGCTTTTTCTTTTTTGATCGTGCACCTGCGCACAACTTATGTGCATCCCTGTTTATAATACATGTTTGTTATGTTTTTTTATGTCTGCCTTTCCTCAGTTCTCTCGCCAAAAAGACTCAGTCTGTGATTCAAACCCTAAGAAAGGATGGTGTTCTGACATCTGAGTTGGAGCAAAGTCTTAGGAGCTGCCGATCAGCCGATGAACTGGATCATGTGGTTAGAATGTTTTTTCATGTTGAAATAATATGAAGCTGAAGTAATATTTATTAATCAGGTGTGATTTTAAAGACTTATTCTAGGTTTAAATTTTGTTCACATCTGATATAAAACGAACAAATCTAAACAAAAAAAATGGTACAAGCTGTTTTCTTTCTGGCATTTAAAGCAGAAAGTCAGCACATCCATGGTGGGGATTTTAACCATAAATAAACCTAATATTTAAAATAAAGTTATTGTGCAATGTAATTATCTTTTTTTTCCTTTTTTTGCAAGACAACCAACATAAAACTGAATATAATGAAAACCTTTAAAAAGCTGAATTTCATAAGACAATTTGCAGATTATTTTATATGTATGTATAAATATATATTGAATGCTAATTTAGCTATGTTGCTTAATAATGTCAGATATCAATATCTGAAAGAATTAAGCTGTAAGCCAGAAGTTTAAGGCTCAAAAATAACAAAATCTGGAAATGTATAATCTATAGGAGCTGTGTTTTTGTCTTTTGCTTGCAGTATACCCCATATAAAAAAGGCAGCAAGCTCACTAAAGCTCGCAGGGCCAAAGCATTGGGCCTGGAAGAGGCTGCCACTGCACTGATGAACACTCCACACAACCTGGATCTAAGTACATGGGTAAAACCTGGTACTGAAGGTAAGAAAAAACGCTTTGACATGCACAATACAGGTAAACAAAGCTAAACATAGTCCCAAATATAATGCTGCTTCACGGTTAAGCCACAATCAGAGAAAATAATTGCTTATTGGCAAGTTAACAGATGGAAACATGTCTTGGGAAGTAAAAAGTGCAACACATATTTTTCAGTGTATTCATTGTCTTAAGTGTAAAGTGTAGAGTTGATTTAAATTCCACAAAAACACCTCATAAATACACTTTTGATCTATGTTTGTGTGACAGGTTTATCATCTGTGGAAGAAGTGGCCACAGGTGTGGAGCATATCTTGGCAGATATGATAGCCAAAGACCCCGAGACACTCACTCACATTAAGACATTGTAAGAATCCATCCTTATGTGCTTTTGACATTTTTCAGTTTTTCTCTGCAATAATTTTCATCAAGATTAACAAACAGTGTTGTGTGATCTCATGCTTCATGTTGTCTGTGCCATTGTGTTTGTCAGATGTGAAAAAAACTTTGTGACCATCCAGTCATCTGTGTCTAAGTCTGCACTAAAGGAACAGGAACAAACACAGTCCACCCAAGGCCACAGCAAAACAGGAGCTGAGAAAAACAAGGACATTGACAAGTTTCAACTCTATTTTGACTTCACTTGCAATATCCAGCGCATCCAATCCCATCAGGTAACGAGACTTGCAGCATGGACTGACATTTTTCAATATGCAGATACAGAATAGTTTTGTGATTTTTACAGATGTCTGTTTTCTAGTCTTCTTAACACTTGATAGAACATTTTAGGATTGAAATTCATTATAAAAACTATCCTAAAGCTGTCCAAAAAACAAAAACATTTCGCAAGAAAACTAAAAGATTCTCTGTTTTTAATAGATTATAAATGTTTTCAAGCCACTTCTGTCTTCTTCTGTCTGGCTTCACATCCTCAGACCAATCCTCAACATTTATCATTTAAAGGGTTCAATTTTAACACAAATGAGTCTATTGGATCATAATAAGTTTTTTTACACCTTTGTTGCATGTTCTTTGAACTTGCCTGATGCACACAGAACACACACACAAACTGTTGTGCTCCATCTGTTTGTGTTTGTCGTTCTTCTCTGCTTCTTGCACGCTGGCTCTGGATGCGACCCCCGTCAGTCGCAGTTAGCCTTGTCTGTGCCTTCATATTTACCCCTCCTGTGCCCTGCTCTGCTTCCTCCGCTCCCCCCTCTGTCTCTCCAGTGACTGGTGGGTTACTCAGAGCTGGTCCCAGGCCTCATGTGTCACCACAGCTTCCATCACCCGCTGCCTCTGCCACCCCACACTCTCTGGCAAGCACGCTCTGCCCTACAGTCATTTCAATCACATGCACACACTTGCTCACTCACAACCGCTGCCTGCAAGTCCCCTCATTCTCTCTTCTTAACATATGTGACATGTCCCCTGCCGACATGCCATTGGATTAGGAAGCTTTGACTGACAGGCGGTCTCATGTAGTGACAGCTACTGCTGCTGGGCCCACAGGCGCACAAAAGGATGGGAAAAGAGTGGGGGCAGTAAAGGAAAGAACGCATGAACACACGAGTGGTGCTTAGGTGCGTCCGTCACTTATCTCCCTTGCTCTCCTCTGATCTGCATCTTCCCTCTTTCTGACTAAACCTCATCCCTTCAATCCACCCCCCCCCCCTTCTTTCAGTATGCAAGGCATTTAATTTGATGACTCGCCTTTGTCACAGAGCGTTAATCCACAGGCTGCTGTGACCCTGCTAGCTGTCAGATTCCGGCTAAAATGAACCTTTTCTAGCCACGAAGTTGGCGGGGGGAGGAAGCAGGTGGGAGATGTGTTTTGACAGAAGGCATGTGTGTTAGTACACACATGCCCTTATGCTTTAGCACATTTTATTAAGCCTCAACTCTGATTTGTTAAAGGATAAGAAAAGGGAGTTGCTTTCTGTTCCTGGCAGTATAGATCTAACAAATTCAATCATGAATGTGTATTTTATGATAGGGTGATAAATAATAAATGTAAATTAATATTTTAAATGAAAAGTTTCAGTTTGTTTAAACAGTTAAAGGAAAAAAAGCATGTAGGTGGAAGCTGTAGAAATGTATGCTGCTTGTTAAGCATAAAAATGCTTTACATGAAGGCAACGATTAAATACTGCAGATTTTTTTTTTCCTTTTGGAAATTTTGCAATCATTTTTTAATAATTGAAGCAGGCAAACAAGACAATTATTTAAATTGTGTAAATTAACAGTGTTTGCACTTTTGCTTTAAAATTCCTTAAAAGACAATGTCCCCGACAAAACACAAGAGATAAATTTTCTGCTGCAGTATTTGATTATTTGAACAATCATTTAAATTCACATTTTATTTTAACGAGTTTAGAATTCAAAGAAGCCTGACTCCCTCAGTTTTCTAATTTCATCAGAAGTTAGTTTATAGAAAGCTTTGGTTTTCAGCGTGCCTGATAGCATATTGCTTCACCCAAATTTAATTTTATTAGACTTGATTAGGGTCTTCTTTTGGAGAGTGCACATTTACGTTCTAGCTATTAATCGCTGCTACACTCTTGAGTATGTCAGGATAGATTTGCTGAATGTGGCAGGGAGCTACTTTCAATGCAATTTGCTTTGTGATCAAATAAGAGCGTGGAGCTTGAGTCTGGGGGTTTGCCTGCAGAAGAGCTTGAGTAAATGGAACTGTTTCATCAATTAAACAGAGCTGTTTGATAGACATGTGGAGGACAACATTTCAGTAAAGCAGTTTGTGTGTGTTCTTGATTTGTGGCGTGCCAAAATATATTAATACATGTTATTTTTGACGAGTTTACAAGGAAACTCGTGTTTTCTCATTTCCTCATTTGGACAAAAAGCCTTTTAACGACTGAAGAAAGGTTGCTAAAATAAACTTTGCTATGTTTAATTTGTGTTCTCTGATAGTTTTTTTTTTTGTTAATGTCAGTTCTTTTAACAAAAACAATCAAAACAACATAAGTGCTGTATAGGTCTAGCAGAATTTCTCAATGTAAGTACAACAAAAATTGTCTTCATTTTTATCTCTTGTAATCTGAATAGGCCTCATGCAAGAACCGTTCGTACGCACAGATTTGTTCTTAAATTGTGCGTACGAGTGATTTAGGAGAATTTGTGGCATTCACTAATGTTTTCGTATTCTAAGATTTTTTTCAGATACGAACAAAGTTCACGAGTGGTCCAGACCTGTCGTATATTTTACGAGCAGTCAGTCTGCTGTTATCCAGACGGGTTTTCTTCATTAATAACTTAATATTTCATTAGTTTGAAGATATTTTGAGTTGAAAATAAATCACACTCCATAATTATGTTGACAATAGGCTATTCTGTTTGAATTAGAGTTATAATTTTAAATTTAATAATTTAGACTAACAATATAAATTGACCGTCCGGTTTCTGCCGCTTATCCGGGATCGGGTCGTAGGGGGCAGCAGGAGACCCCGCTCTCCCCAGCGACACCTTCCAGCTCGTCCTGGGGGACACCGAGACGTAACCAGGCCAGAGGGGGTACATAATCCCTCTAGCAAGTCCTTGATTTCTCCAAAGTGCCAGACTTATTTTGAAAACATTTTAAAATGCTTATTTCAAACCCGCATCTGAGACGACCTGCGACCGCGCAGAATGAAAATGATTTAACACAGTTGTTTATACTTTTAGTAGCTCTTTATATTCCACAGCTGACCTGCTAAAAATGACAGATTTTCTTTTCTGGATCTCTGACAGACGGACTTCAATCTCTGAACTCGTAAAGTTCTTCTTTTTAGTTTTCGCTGTCATTTTCATGAATGGACACTTGTATCTGAGGCAGGAAACATAGCCTTATATGGTGTTTTTGGGGTGGTAATTATGTTAATCTCCTCTCGCAAGCAGCTGGATACGAACAGGTGGAATTCATTTACACACTTTCCTGAAGATAGAAGAGTTTGTTGAATCTGACGTGACATGTTCGTACGAACAAAAGTAAGAGAAATTTAGGAAAAGAATACGAACATGTTCTTGCATGAGGCCCAATGTTACTATTAAACCAACAAATTTTCCAACTTGTGAGAAGCAGGATTGAAGGTGTGGAAAAAAGTTCCTTTTTCAAATCAGGACCAGTATAACAATATTATCATTTCAAATTTTAATCACAAATTATTTATTTTGTAAAGTTCTTGATGTTTGTCCAGATTTCTTTTATTTAACTGGTGAAGATAAAAGGTGTTCAAGTTTTTTTTTGTGTTTAGTTAGTGGTCAGTTTATTTTAAAGACCTGGCACCTTAGAGACATTTTTTGTTTAAGGAATATTTATGTCTGTCTGCTTGTATGTACGTTTTATTGTGTCTTGTAAGCTTGTGTGGGCTGCGTACCTGTTGGGATGCATCACACAAAAACTAACTAACCAACTTACTGACTTACTTACTTACTGACTTACTTACTGACTTACTTACTTACTGACTTACTTTTTTTCCTGCATCTGCATTATCATCTGGTTAGACTGTTTCAGAGGCAATGCATTGCTGTTATGTTATTTATAATAAATGATTTTGTTATTGGTGGTCATACGTTGAAAAAGACAATTATCAAGAAAACAATTATTTAAAAATGAGGGACGTTTTTTGTTAAATATTTAAAGCAAATCTGAATGTAACCTCTGGTGCAACTCATTACCAAATTAAAGAAAATGAACTTTTCTGACATTTAAACTGACTTTGAGTTCAATAACTTGTTAAACTGGTTAGTCTTCCTTTACCATACCAAGTGAAGCAATCCTACAATTTTAGTCAAAGAACTGTGCAGGTGGCTTTATTTTTGCTCTTATACAACCACATTTAATGCTGTAATACTGTGTCAGCAAGGTCAAGAAACATGCATATTTTCTGTGACTGTTTGCCAGTGTGCGTGTGTTTGTTTATCCTCGATATGGCAGATGGATAGATGTGTTGATGACAGTATATTTCTACCGAACAGATGAGAAAGAGGAGGAGACAGATAGTGGATAGTTGTTGGCTGTCTGCCCTGGCTTTGGGGCTGCTGAAAGAATTAAGTGGCACCGAGGAAAGATTGTCTTTCTGGCCTTGTCAGGGTTTGGCTCATATTTGACTAACTGTCACTTCTGGTGTCTTTAACATACAAACATCACTCTGTTTTTCAGATCACGCTATCTCTCACCAGTGACTTGACCCACACAGAAATCTAGAGCTGTACAGATGGACAATAGCCTGTTTATCATCAGTAAGGCTGAAATTGTGTATAGCCAGAAAATGAGCAACTGTTGGAAACTGTAGATGTTAGGGTTTAGCAACCAGGCAAAGAAATTATTTAGATTTTAGTTTTCTTTATGTGTGTTAGTTTATATTCAGTTGTTGGTTGAGTTAAATATTTTTCTTATCCCCTACTTTAGCTTGTTGTTCTTGACAGCTACTTAAATAAATTTTATCTTTTATTAAAAACTTTCCGTCCTGAGAAAAAATATTTATCAAGGCATTTTTTACTTACCACCTTCCTTTCAATCATGGGCTTTCGGGAATGTTCCAGTTATTTGGAAATAAATATTTTGCTTGCTTTCTTTGACAAGATGTTGAACTTGATGAAGATTGTTTCAGAAATTCAACGACAGTCAGTGAGAAAGCCTGAGGCGAAAAGATGCCACCCGAAGAAAAATCTTAACTTCCATTATTTAAAGAAAGCCGCTGTATTAATGCTGGCCTCTGCTTTATGCCACTAGCTGAGTTTTGAAAATGTTTTATTTTTGTGGGTGTGTTGCATGTGGGTTTGCTGCGTCCGAGGGTGCTGCTGAGCGGTAATGGTTGTGGCACCATGTGTGGGAGTGGGTGGGGGTAGGCCTTGCGGTCTCAGAGCTGATGGTGGCATAGTGGTGGCATTTGTCAGCTTGCTTCTTCCGCTTGGACTCCAGATTGACGTCTTGCTTTTTGGCTCTGTTCTGTGGCAGGCTAAAGGTTCCCGACTGAAAAGGTCAGACACTTACTACTGTTTGCTTAACAGCATGTAACAGCTCCTCTGAGGGGGAACCAGCACACAACACAACAGGCCGGTCCACAGGACATACTCCTAGGCTTATCCCTTTTTATACACACGTAGAGTTAAAAGTCTTTTTTAGATGAGAAACTTAGCCTTTTCCTTAGAATATTTACTTGAAAATACTTAGGCTTTTTTTGTTAAAATGTCTATTCAAACAAAAAAAAAATGAAAGGAGATTTATGTTTGCTTCTATTTGATGCTTTTCATTTAAAATGTTTAAAAGGAACATTGATTTATTTTACTATAATTTTCTGTCTGAAGCAGCTGGTGTTTGTAAATTACAATGCATCATTAAATTAATGCATCATTAATGTATAATTAAATATAAACATGAATGCATTTATTGACTAATAATTACTAACCATATTTTGACAGGTAGACCTTGTCTGTTTTAGCTGCTATCAGAATATTTAGGCTTTCATTGTGTGTATTTTTTAGAGATTTTAAATGTGTTTGTGGCTGAGCTCGGTCATCTTGCTTGCTATAAATATATCTTGTGCTTTAGCTTGTGTCTTTATGTTTTGTGTTCTTGTGTGATTTTAACCTTTGCTATAAACCAAATTTCCCCCTGAGGGACAGTCAGTAAATATCTGGACTGAACTTTGATTAAAATTAGTCTTGTGTACCTGCCTGTTTACAGACGCTGGCCATTAACCGAGGGGAGAATCTGAAGGTTTTGACGGTGAAGGTAAACATTCCAGACAGAGTGAAGAACGACTTCACTTGGTGGTGCTTGAACAACAGGTCAGAATCATAATAATCACACGTAGCATCACACTTTGACAAGCTTGTCTGTCACATTTAAATTATACTCCACAATAAATGTGTTTTTGTCAGAAAGGTGTGTGATAAATTTGTGCAGCTGTGAAGATTTTTTTTCCGTCTGTGGCCATTAGTTGATATTTAAAAGTTTTTCAAAAAGATTAATATAAAACTTCAACTTTTCTCCAATTTATTGGTAAAATTTTCAGTTTTTTAAATTGTTTCTAGATGTGGATCATACCTTGAGTAATGGAATTCAGTAGAGAGGAAATAAAAGAACATTGATAAATTTGTAATAAAGTTGTTAATATTGATACTTTAGTTGAAAAAGTGACAATTTAAAAAATAATGAGTTAGGCAGTTACCTCTGTTGACTGGGACACACAGCATAATGTCTTTATGAGAGTGAGGAATTTGGGTAACGCTAAAATTTATTAATTTATAATTTTAAATTACTTTTAGAAAAAAAGGGGAAAAAACTTTTGTCTTTTTTATGCAGGTGGAGGCCAAAAACATTTGCAAGACAAAATCTTCAGGCAATCATTAGAAATGCAGTCGAAGACTCTTATAAAAGGCTTATTCTACCTTTCCTCACAAGGAGCTACAGGTATTTTTGCCAGTTTTGTTTGACATAAAGTTGTTTTTGTTTTTTTCTTCTCTAATTTTGAGTATTGTTTTTTGCTTCTGTTTCTTTCCATTTCCAATGTTTTTCATGTTTTTTTCCATTTATAAATATTTTTCCACATTTTTTATAGAGCTAACAGCTACATACCGAATTTCTTCTTTAAATTTTACTTCCTGAATTCTTCTTGATGTTTGTATTTTTTTAGTTTGTATTTTTATTTTCTCCTCTCCTCCTGATCACTCTCTGGTTTTCCTCTCATTAGGACTAAGCTAACAAGTGCAGCAGAAAAGGAGTCGATTGCCATGTTTGTGCGGAACCTCCGCCAGCGCTTGTTGGTGTGTCCAGTCAGAGGTTGTGTCATCATGGGAGTGGATCCTGGCTTCAGACATGGCTGTAAACTGGCTATTCTCTCCCCCACAAGTAATATACACAAGTCTACTGTGTTTATTGTAGACAGAAATGATCAATCACTAGTTAATTCAATCAAGACTATTTGGAGCTCCAGTACTTTAGCTCATATTTTCCTTCTGTACTGTGACAACTTATTCAGGTTAAAATAAATGGAAAGAACTGGCTCAGATTGTTTGATATAATAAAAGAGCTTCATACTGATGTTTCTTTAACTTATTCCATCTACTTAAACATTGTTCAGCTGCTAGAAGTGGGAACAGTTGACCTTGAGGTGGTTTAGTGGATGCAGATTGAGCCACTGCTTATTCATCGTATGGTTTACAGTGAAAATAAATAAGCTGTAAAAAAATATCTTTCCCTGTTATCATAATACTTCATGATCACTGTGTTTGCTCTGTTTTTCTGCTTTAAGGTCAGATTCTTCATACAGATGTTGTGTACTTGCATAATTCAGGACAACAAAGAGAAGCAGAGAAATTGCGCCACCTAATGATCAAATACAGGTACTACTGCAAAGTAGTTACTGTGTGTACAGTGTGAGAAAATGATCTGTGTTTTGCATAAGTGTGTCCTAATTCAATGAAATGAAATTATTTAGAAAAAGTAAAAAAACTTAATACCAATTTAATTACATTTTTTTAAAAAGTTGCTCTCTTTATCCTTAACATTTTTGTTTTCTTTATTTTGTCCAACCAGCTGCACCAAAGTTGTTATTGGCAATGGGACTGCTTGCCGTGAAACAGAGTCCTTCTTTGCTGACCTAATTTCCAGACGTTTTTTTCACCCTTTGGATGTGTCTTACTGGTAAGACCATTATGGTTTGCATACTAAAAGAGGCAATTTCAGATACTGTACATTTAAATACAAATGTAGTAAGTATGTATGAAACTGATATATCAGTAAAAAGGCTCAAAAGTCCACATGATTCAGTGTAACTTGCCACTTAAATCTTTTTACAGGTTTTAAAACTGAATCTCTTTATTTTGTGCATTTTAAAACAAAAAGTGACTTTTAGACTTAAATGAAAGTTGGAGCTGCCAGATTTGAAATAAAAAAAAATTGTGATTTTAACTGGGGCAAATAAAAATTTAAGGTTCTAGAAAATTACCCATCTGATATTTACATTGCAGTTCCATTTAAAAATTAGTCTTTTTGTCTGCTGATATTATGTTAACAGTAAAATTAAAATTTTCACTAAAATGTTCTGAAGTTTCAGTTTTAGAAATTTATTTCCAAAACTCAAAAATTAGAACAAACTCATTTATTTTGATGAAGAGAAAGAATGATAATGAATGAGAAACTGACTCAGCTGTAGAAAGCATAAAACCCAGTATGGTAAAACATAGGAATAAAGAATGTAAAAAGAGTAGACAATTAAACAGAAATGTGTGGGGGAGCCAGAAAGCTGGACAAAATGGAGAGACACAACTTGGAATGCGTTCTCAAGTGAATATCTATTAAAGCCATCTGGAGTTTATTTCACTTTAGTCCAATTAAAGAGATGTTTCTGTGGTCCAAGTCTTGTCCGTAACTAAATCCAGTCCAAGCTTCAGAATACAACGACACAGAACTGTTATCCAAGGATAACAACCACTGACCTCTGTTTGCACCAGCTCTTTTACTTGCTGCTCAGCTCCATGTGTGTTTGTTGACTTGAGGTTAGAAGTGGGACCACAGACTAAATTCATTCTGGCTTATACTTGCGTGTGTGCAGAAGTTTTTTTCAGTATTTTTAGGTTTTTAAGTTTAACCATCTTGAGCATCTTCAGAGCAGCAACATTTCTTATCATGGTATAATATTTGTTTATATATATTTTAACTTTAGCTGCATCTAATAGTACAAACAAGATAAATAATCTTAAATGTGATGTTGAATATTCAGTTACACAGATTATTGTATTTAATTAGTATTATTATAATATGACTACTTTTTAAACCTCATGATACCAGAAAAATGATATTGTTGGTTATAAGTTTCATTTAAATAAATTTGTGAATACTAAACTCTGCACAATTAATTTCTTTATATCAGTTATTTGTATTTGTGTGGGTTTTTATACAAACATTATTCTTGTATAGATAATTAGGTCTCTCTCTGCCATTCATTCCTCGTCTTCTGTCTGCCTTGACTGCAGCAGTTCATTAAAGTCCTCAGCTTCATTTACGCCGTCTGCTTCCTGTCTCCCTGTGAGCCTTCATTGTTTTTCCACCCCCCACCCCTTACCATCCTTCCCACTCCACGTGTCTGTCTCTTGCTTTCTGTTCATTTGCCTCAGTGCTCAGCTGAAATGACAGCCAGAAATGTCAGCCTGCAGGACAGACTTTCTTGTATTTTGTGTGTGTTAGAGGTGAGATATTCTGCACCTATGTCCCACGGGTTTTGTCCATGTGTTTGCGTCTCAAGAAGAGGCGATTTCTAATATATCCTTTGGGATTTATTAATGCATTGTTTGAAATATTGCATTTTATGCCACAATGTTCATGTCACTGTTGGACTTGTAGGCCACAACATGAACTTGAGATGGACACAGTTAAGAAGATTAAAGTTTATTTGAATAAGAGCTCCATGAACAAGAGGGTTGAATTCCTGAAAGTATCCCTGTGTCTTTTCATGGCAGTTAAGAAATTTAGGCAAATGCAGTTTCCAGACAATTTTACTGTCTGTAAGCACAATGTGGATACAGAATCCGTAACAACTAAATGTTTAACAATAAATAGTTCATTTCTACTGCTGTGTGCTGATGTCAGTGTGTGATATTTGTGTTTATTTACAGTCAAGTGTTTTTCCTTTCTGATATGCAGTAGCCTATTTAAACAAGTTCAATTGGCAGCTTTTGTGTGTGAAAAGCTAACACAATCACACACAATGCGAATATCATGCATCAAAAACTCATTTTAAATTGGCCTGCCTTTACTCTGGTTTTAATTCTGCTATGTTACAAATAACTTTCTCAAAGTGGTGACATTAACACTGTAAAGTTATTAATGCAAAAGTCAAAAAAATATTTTTGTGTTTACTGCATTAAACTGAACTAAAAAAGATCACAGACAAAGCAAGCTACTGTCATTTTATATTTTCTTTTTGTCTTTTACTGTGGTTTCTAATAACTACTTTTGGGTTGTTCAGCTTAAAAACTGCGACCTTTCTTAACATTACTTGTGAACTTTCATACTTTTGTGTATTTAAGGCAGTGAGAATGGTAACATTGGTTGGCTGTAACAAGTTGACAAAAATATCATCTGAGGGCACAAGCACGTGGTGTTAAGTTTAAGATATTTTTCGGCAGCGATGGTTATACACACACACTGACCACAGCTAAAGGCAAATAGAAACTGCATCCAATTTTGTGACCACTTGCTCTTTTGTTCCTAAAGGCAAGGAGATGACGTCCTCTTATTTTTTCTCTTCACAAAAACACAATTAGATCCTTGAGGGCCTTGAAAAGGGGTGCTGAAAACTGTCATCTTTTTCTTCTACTCATCGTTATTTTCATTCTTGATAAATTGTATTTATAAGTTGTCAGAGAGCAATCCAAGCAGTTGTAGAAGAAGACATCCTTTAAGTAACACTTTCCTCCTTTGCTGACGCAGAGTCATGCTCCCAGTAAGTCCTTGACTGTCTTGCCCTTTGGCTCACTTCTGTTGAGATGAGATCATTATTACTGGCTAGCTTATGGACCTGGAGGACAGTGGTGAGGACTGTATTTATGACTTTATGTGGAGCTGGGCATGTGTATCCCCTGTCATGTCCTGTGTCCAGGCACGCTCCTAGGGGCCAAGCTGAGAGAGTGATTAACATACAGTGGCAGGACTAGAGATGATTGAGTGAGATCCAGACTCTTAGTACCCCCAGAAAGGTTTGAAAGTTGGATACATGGAGGGACAGATGGATTTAGAGGCATGGAAAGGCCTCAACCTGGCTTCGGGGTGCATCTTTGTTTCAAAAGGGAAATGAACCCATGGATGAATGACAATGAAAAGTTTATGTCTGTGACTTTATACTGAAAGGATGAAAGCAGTGTTGAAAATTGCTGAATTAACTAACTAGCATAAATGCCAAAAATTATTATATTGATGGTGAAGTAAAATTAGTAATAAAACATTGAATGAGCGCTTTTTAGGACACTCAAAAATGCTTGGCGGTTGTATGCTACAGTGTGGCCAGAGCCCTGGGGCACACTGACAGAAGCGGGGCCGCCAGTAGGCAAGGAGGTTGTTGTCTTACCCTTGGATAAAATGCCCCTTTTCCACTAGTGCCACTTAGTGTAGTGTCGGTACGGTTCGGTACGGTTCCAAGACATTTCCATTAGGCCAGATTCATGGAACCAGATTTTTTAGTATCTACTTCGTTGTGGTTCCAAGTGATCCCAGTCGACACCAAAATGTGACATCAAATGTGTGTTGGTCACTGATTGGCTAGGGGGTGGAGTTACTGGTTGCATCTAAAGCTGACTTTACAACAACTCGAGGCACCATTTTTTCAATTGTAGCAGTGACATTAGTTGTGTTTCCATCCAATTTTAATTCGAATTTTTAGCAAATTTTTTAAATTTCAGAACTTATTCGGCAAATGTGTTTCCATCTCTCATTTTGCGCATTAACTTTTTTCAAAAACCCCAAAAACCTCCATGTCCAGAAAGTCCACCTCCACCTCCAAAACCACCTCCACCTCGAAGGTGGTTTTGAAGGTGGAGGTGGACTTTCTGGAGCCGGACAGGAATGTCAATGGAAAAACACCCAAACTGACCCGTTCCGGCACTGACATACAGACACCACATTAAGTGACACTAGTGGAAAAGGGGCACAACTGAGACGATTGGAACAGGGGATCGAACCGGCAACCCACCGGTTACAGGACAACTCCCCTAAACTCACTGTCCCAGCCACCTCATTGGTAAAATTAAATAAAATTTATGTAACAGACAAATCCAGTTTGTTGACAGTCTTCTTGGGAAAAATGTTAAACCTAAATAAGATGGGTTTGCAGCAAAATACTAACTTGGGTCATGTGGTTACAGTGAAGAGTTCAACTTTAAAATGGATTTGATAAAATAACATCAAATTTACAACTTGACTTTTAGATCTCACATAGACATTGCTTCAGTAACAGTGGTGGACAATGAATATCTGCCAGTCTTCTCCCTTTCACCCACAGACCTGTCTCCTCACCACTATGCCTTACTGGTGGTCGTCATCATCCTCTTCTTCGCCTTTTTTCACCCACCATCTTTCCTAAGGCTTAGTTTTCACTGCAATGGTCTTTCATGTGACAAATGTGTGATGAGTCTGCATGAAATGCAATGTGTGTTTTTGTCATTTTAGGGGGTGTATTTGCATGTTGCTGTGTGTGGCGCAAGTACAGGCCTTTGCTGCTAACAGATTGACGTGAATGTCTGTGAGGCTTTGCTCTTTTCAGACATGCCTCACACTGGCAGTTGGAGTTTGTGTTTGTGTGTGTGGGAGCCTGCCTGCCTTCTAGCGCCTCAATAGAGACTGACGGCCCCTGACACCTGCCATTTGGACGCTTTTCTCTGTGAAAAATGTCATCGTCTTTAGACCCGACGTGCGTGTGTATGTGTGTGAATAAGGGAGAGATATTGCACATCCCTGAATTTTCCTCCCTGAGGGCAAGCTTTGCAGCTGACTGAACAATGGATTCAAGCAGTTTGAGCAGCCTCGACAGAGGAAGTTGGCAAGTATGTGTGCCTATATATGTAATATTTAAGTATAAATATATTTTGAAGTGATTATAGCTCCTTCCAAGGCGATGAAATTAAACCGATCCAGATATCTTGAACACAAACAGAATTTTGGCAAACTGTAAGACTTTATAAAATGTTCAGGTTACAGCAGCTACACAGTTTTGACTTTTATATCATGTTTTTTCAGCATGATTAATAAAAAAACAAGATTAAAAATTATCAGATTTATGTTAGTGCAGATTGTACTTTTAAAAGGGTTTTCTGTCTGAAGTCCACTAAACAACAACAAATGGCTTGTGTCTTTGTCTGAGTTTTGACATTTTTGATGTAGCTTTAGGTCCTTTTGGAGGACTTTTTATTTTTAAGTCCAATCCTTTCTAAATAAATAATATTTTCGTGGTATGTTTGGGGTAGTTTATTTGCTGAAAATAACAGTAAGGTCTAGGCATACACATTGTTTCTCCAATGGTCTACACTCTGTTGCATTTGTCTGTAATAAAAACATACAGTACATGGGGTGGCCGTGGCTCAGGAGGAGGTGCAGTCTGCCAATTGGAAGTGGTTTGAGTAGACTTCTCCACTCCACATGCTGCATTGTCCTTGGGCAAAATGCTGAACCTCAGCTTGCCCTTGATCTGACAATAAGTGTGTGCGCAAAAATGGCTGAATGTGGCTATTTATGTAAAAGCAGTTTGGTCATAAACAAAACTTTACCATGTAACATGCCAATTTAGTCTTTTTTTGTCTTATGTGCTCAAATTCAAAGAGACGTTCTGACTTATTTGACAGATGATATCACATATTTCCAATTATGGCCTACCAGGATGATCCTCATTGTCTTGTCTTTTACATGTGTTTAATTAATACATTACAGAGTGTCCTTGAAATGGGCAGGATAGAATACAACTGGATCTTCTTTATTTAATTTAGATTTTAAGGGGAAAAATGTGCAGGCAAAAAGATTACTTCAATTTGATTTATTCAGTGCATATAAGAAATAAAGTTGGGCCTGCACTGTCTTAATTTAGTAGAAGTTACATTTTTAGTTTGAAAATGACTGAATGTGTACATGCTACCTCGGATTACAAAGTGTTGGGCAGCACAGTCAGTGTGTTGTGGTTTGTTTTGCATAAGGCTGTGTGTAACACCTGGCTGATCGGTGTGGAAGTGCTGACTCGTGCCCACCACTGAAAGTTGGTTACTCACGTGGAAGCTCTTTTGACACATTTAATGTTACTAAAAATTGGTGATTTAATGTAATTGTTACTGTACATTCCTAAATTCAACTTTGCTCTGAGTGCTTTGTGCTGACTAACATAATGTGTAAAACTTAGAATAACCTGAGGCATTACTTTTGCAAATTTGATCCTTTGTTTGCTCTTTGCTATATTTTCACCTCTTTCAAACTTTTTGTTAGTTTGGGGTAATTGAACTGCTTTTAATTAATGCATTATGAGCCTGAAGGAAGTAATTGGGTATCAAAATGTGTATCCATCTCCCTCCTTGTTGTGATTCTTGAAGGGCAGCAGGGGGCAGTCATTATGCATCTCTTTTTGTGTGTCTTAAATATGAGTAGCGGGTGTAGATAGAAGAATCATTTTGTGACTTTGCCACAGGGAGGGACAGGGCTGAACTAAGGCTTGTGTTTGTGTGCACATACAATTAAGACAGCAAATGAAAGCACAAAGAAATGAGAACCCTATATGGCCACAAGTTATTGCTTTGCACCAGGAGGCAAACCATGACTTTGGATCCGTGTGTGTGTGGGGGGGGGGGGGGGGGGGTGCAGACGACCCTCTGTTGTCTGCCAGGGTGATGCCCTCACTATGGCGACAGTCATGAATGCTCAGAGCTGTATCCATGACACTACTGTTACAGAGATTCCTCAACAATATTCTTAATTAAGTTAGACGTGTTAGGGGTTTTTGGCCACTCTTTCTTTTCCTTTCACTATTCTTCTGTGTGTTTTTTATATCAAAACTTTAATTCATTTTTGTAGCATATCAAATCATTTTCTTTGTCTTTCTGTCTCTTTTTCTGTTTCTGTAAAACTTCCTGGTTTTATTTGTATGCAGTGTAATTAACAATCATTTAATTTTGTGCATAATGGTGAAAAAAGGGGCGTTAGTGTTTGGATAGAATTGACATTATTGTGTGTGATGTAAGAAATGAATATGGCTCATGTCTGTTTGCATTAGACACAGTATATCAGGCTAATGACCAGCGTTGGTTTGACCTCCTTGAAGGTCATGTGCCAGTGCTCGTTAGCAGTGTCACCATGGCGACATGTCAGCTGTCAGCACAATGGCTAGGGATCTGACAAAAAGAACAGAAGACGGGAGAGGGAAGCCATGAGAGGAAGTTAATTTAAACATGATTCTCATCAGAAGGCCTCTGCCACTACTCATTAACAAGAAACTTAAATGTGGCAAGGTTGTTGCGGCACGTTCTGAGCCTCTAGTGTAAGATGTATAATTGTGTGTGTGTGTCTACATGCCACACAAGGTCTTACTTTCGGACATAGGGGAGGTGTTATTGACCCCATGTCATGTTAGTTAGCCCTGAGGAAAATCCCTGTTTTTCCAACCATCCAGGAGATGAAGACGACTAAATATGACAGGTTCAGTTGTGTGCCGTCAGTATTGGCACAGTATCAGTGGCTTTGTTGTGCTGCTGCCCTGGCTGGTTGGTGATGGAACATTAAACAGCCTACTTTGTAATGAATACATTAACATTGAAAAGCTATGCTTTTTATATTTATCTGAGAAATAATATGGTAAAGAGTGCTGAGCTCAAAATAAACTGATTACTGCAACTTTTTTGTGGGTAGTATAAAATATTAGTTTTTTTCACCTTGTATTAAAAGTATTTTTAAAGTCTTTACATTTAGCCACTGATAACTGTACTGACTTTTCATTATTTTAATAATAAAAGTTACAAATAAATTGCTAAAAATGAATTTGAAAGGACCCTGCTGTGATTCGAAAGTAATTTTATTTTATTCGAATTTAATTACAGTAATACAGTATTTTTTGTTTTTATTTTTATTTTTTAAATAAATTATTATGTAGCTCATTCACTTAACATAATCACAAATAACAGTAAACCATGGAGACCTCTAGATGGCAGTATTGACACATAAATCTCAGCATAGAGCTAAACAGTTTGTCATGACCTAAAACCACCACACACCTATTAATCATACTGCGTTTCATTAAAGTGTCAGTCTTTCTGTGTGAAAAAGATTGATATTCTTAAAGAGTTTAGGCAGAAGATATGAAGGCTCTGAAGGTATAACCCATACTTTGAGCAAATCATCTCAGTCAATTATCTAAATCACTAAAATACCTGTTCTGAACATATTAAGCATAGAGTCCACAGGTTCTTGAACCTGCTGTGTCACGATGCCTGAAAACATTTGAAAGACTGTCATAAAGCTACTTTGGTTCTAATGTCAGTCATAAGTTCAGAAGGGCAACTCAAGTCATGTGTTGAACCAGTTTGAAAACTTGTTTTGTACAAGGCTCTTGGCTGAAGCAATGTGTGCCAGCGTTGTGCTTGGGGAACAAGAAGTGAGAAAAAAAACTTAAAATACCCCTCAATATGGTTTTTTTCCCCCAAAAAAACCCTGAACTTGTAATTTACCTGATTTCTCATGTTTTTCAGAATTTCTTATTGTCTCCTCCCATTTTCTTTTCTATCCTTTAACAGTATAACCAATGAGGCAGGTGCATCAATTTATAGCGTGAGTCCTGAAGCGGTCAAAGAGATGCCAGACATGGACCCAAACCTCAGAAGTGCAGGTATGTCCAGCAGAAAGGCTGTACTGATTTTAACTGAAAGTGATTAGGCATTTTTTCATTGGGTGTGTACTAGTTCATGTTAGACCAATAATGGGCAAACTTATGAGTTTTGTGAACCGGTTTTATGCTGGTGAAGGTTACCAATTAGTGAATGATCATCACAATATACCAGAGTCCATCATGTGTAACCAAATACATAAATGTATTTATTCTTTACATATATAGTTTATAGATTAATAGATTGATTAAATAACTTTAATTTCTTTATTTGTTTTCAAATACTATGAATTTTAATTAAACAAGTCACATTGTAGTCTGTATTGTAGAGAGGCACAAAGTTATTCCTACATATTTAAGCTTTAACTTAAATTTATTCTTTTTCTGACCTCACACTGGGTTGTCATCATTACAGTAAATTTATAGTATTCTCTTTGAATTGTTTAGGATCCTCTTGTTATTATTTTTTTCCTTTGTCTCTTCTAATTTTATTGTTATTTGGACCCAGGTATTCATGCTAATTTCCATAGATGGCTACACACTGATAATGAGGTTTGACTGACAGGAAAGAAATGTGAACCCTCATTTTGGTTTAGATTTTTATAATAACAATTTCAAAACAGTTTTTATGAGAAAGTTGTGAATAAAAAAACAAGGCTTAAGGTGTTGACAAAGACAAAAGTAAAATTTTCTATGATTTTTTTTTTTTTTTTTGGAAGTTCAGGGTGATTATCTTTTACTGTGATTGCTGCTTTGTCCACATTTTCTTACCAGTCAACAGACATTCAGCTTCATGCTGCAAGGCCAAGAGGGTCACAACATAAGAATAAACACCAGAAACATTGCAACTCCCTTTTTAAGTAGTAAACTTGTTAACAGAGATTATATTAAACAGTGTACATATTGCAGTCTGTCAGCTTATAAAATCTTTATTATTTTATGGTTATTGTTCAGCTTTTATAAATCAAACATGATTTCATGGCCAACATTTTTTTTGTTGCATGTCACACTGTGTGGGTAGTAGTGACCTTAAGATTGCTAAAATGAGCAGTGTGTATTACTTTCCAAAATCGCACACGCACACACAAAAAAGTATGCATTGAGTTTTGGAGAACAAATGTTTCTAACAGACTTCCCTTTCAACAGCCATAAATCAAGCCGGTCACGATTATTCCCTTCTTGGTTTCTTTGGTCAGCAAAACTGAGAGCCATATTTATATTCTTAAAAAAAGCCATGAAAATCATCAGCTATATGCTTAAAAAAACAGAAGATTAAACAGAAGGGAGGTGTTGATTCATGTCTGTTTTGCCTTTTAAAGTCAGAATATATTGTTCAGGTTGAAGACCCAAATGCAAAATGACAAAACAGGAGGCAGGTGTATTAAACAAATTTAACTTAAGCAACCAAAGGGAATTTGGAGTAGGGAATCCAACTTTATATCCAAAACAAAAGACATGTAGCATGGGAATAAACAAAAGGTAAACACAATAATTCAGAAACAGAAAAGGAAAACCAAAGAGTTGCTATACTGACTCTGGAAATCAACAGGAAATAAAAAACCTCTGGTATGAACTAAAAGTCTAACAGGAAAAAAACAACAACTGAAAAGTCATAAGGAAGGTGTCCAACAACATATGACAGTGAGAAGTGATTGAAATTAAGAGCAAGGAAGCCAGATATTGTTTGAACAATATTAGTTTAACCAACATCTGAGTAAAACTAAGAAGTAATCAAATTGTGAAACTAGAAATCAAATAATAGAAGCCAAACAAAAACACAAAACCCACATATTTTGACATTTAAATATATTTTTATTTCTGTCTTTTCCTATTTAAATGAAACTTAGTTTATGACAGGAAAACCAATTTCCACGACTATGATCTTTTATCAGTTTAAAATGAAAGCAGCACAACAAAAAAAAAAAATCATTATTTTTTTAACAAAAGAAGCTGAGCAAGTTTTCACTTATCTTAAGCTATGTGTCTAAACAGGTTTCTCATCTCTAATGTACGCTGCCCTTTAAACTTTCAATAAATGCTGGAGGGTTATGCTACTTTCCATACACAAAACAGCTCCTTCTAGAACGAACTGGGTGTAGAGTAAAGAGAGACAGGATAGATGGAAAGAGTATTTGGAGAGTTCTGGTGGTGCACTGAGCAAGGTTAAGGCTGAAACTTCATCCCTGTCTAAATATTATCTCAGGCAGCAGCCTCCTGCCGCAGCCAGAAGAAAGAGAAGAGCCATTGATTCCTGATAAACTCTCCCTACTACATCCCATCCTTCTCATTTTCTTTGTCTTTTCCGCCACAAAGATATAAATCTGACGCACATCATGCTGAATTACACCCATACTAACCTCTGAAATTCAAACATGAACTTAGTGCACACATCTAAAACATTGGTGGGAAGTTCCACAAAGGGACTAAATTGGGAACAAAACATATTATGTTAAGATTAATCGTATTGTTTTGCTCAATTGAGCAATAAAATTGAAAACAGTCTTTCCTTTGAGGTTTGACGTCAGTAATTTATTAAATAAAAATGTCCAGAACAGTTTAGGAAAACCACAGTTGTAGTTAAAATCATAACTGAACTATTCATTGTTTGTTAGGTAGAGTTTCTTTAGCCTGTGGGCTATTCACCTAATTGCTCCGGGGTCCACAGTTACTGCAGGTCAACAGCTCAGGGGCCAAACATCCAGCAAAATAAAGTTATTATGTAAATATACCAAGTATTACAAAGATCTTTTGAAAAAGTTTATTTTGCTGTTTTTAATCATGATTACAACATACAGAACCCTATAAAAGTAGTGTAGTGCCACTCCCATTTCACCTCACCTCATCTCACCATTGGTTGACCTTTGACCGCCTGAGGTCAAAGCTCTCTTCTCTTAGACTGAATTGTTTCAGCTCTCCCAGAGAGCTATCAAAAAATAAAAACCTTCCTTGCCTCTCCTCTCCTTCTTGGAAAGATTCTCAAGAAATTTGTTATTTGCTGATAAAACAAAGAAAATCAAACATTCTGTCTTTTATTGCTGTTCCTTCAAACATGTATAACTCAAATGTGTAAACCCTTTAAAATATGTTTGACTTTTGTCTTTACTTTGTAAGGACTCTAGTTATCCTATAACTTTGCATTTGTTGTTTTGAACATGTTTAGAAATTTATGAGTTAATGATAACAGAATATGTTTTAGTCAGTGCTTATATTTTTGTCTTTTTATTTCTTCTGTTTTAAATAAGCCAGGGGCGCCCAAACATTTTCCCCAAGAGGGCCAAAATGAGAATCTATCCAGGGCTGCGGGCCAAATGCAGTAATACAGTACATGAAATACAAATACTATTTTAGTAAAGTCCTTTATTTTGTAACGATTCAGCTAGCAGCCAGTGTGGTGGCCTGCTTTAGTTTTAGTCTGGGCACTTGGAGAAAGCCTGCCATATGCTCAAGTAGCAAAGGCTCATGGGAAATTTTGTAAATTCATAAAATATTAGTTTTTCTGGCCTTATAAATTGTGCAAATCTACATGTGGGGTTAAATCTAATGTAAATATCACTTTTTACTTGTATTTCACATTTTATATTTAATCTTATTATATCAAAGATAAAGTCAGAATCATGAGTGAAAGCTATCTGTACTACAGCCCCTTATATAGTCATTGGGCCAATGGATAAAATGACAAAGTGGAAATACATTTTCTACATAGGATGACAGGTTACAACTTAGTAACAATGTTAACTGCTGATGGGCCAAATCAAATAGCTTGGCGGGCCAAATTTGGCCCGCGGGCCCCACTTTGGGCTCCTCTGAAATAAGCATTACTCAATCATTTTATTAATTTACTAATAATAGTTAATAAGTAATCATTAGTTAATTGAATTATTAGTCTAATGTTCTTGAAGAATTGAGTTAATCCTGCTCATAAAAATTTGTGTGCTGTTTTGATGTCCTTGGGTCTTCCACACACAAAGACAACACACGGTTCTTATTAGAACTCTTCACTACACTTGGACACCTGCGAGATAATACTCTCACGTTCTCCTTTCTTGTGTCTTTAAAACCTTTTCTCTACTTCCTGTTTGTCAGTCTGTCTGCTTGTCCGTCTCCACCCTGCTGGGTCAAGAGGTGCAGGTTGCCTTTCTGGCTTCCTTGCTCTTTCTGTGCTGGAAAACAGTTTCTTTTTGCAGCATATTTTTCTTTCTTTTACAAGGAAATACTCATTTTGGTTGGAATACCACTTTTGTTTGGGCTGCTCAGCATGAACCTGGAGCCACCATCATTGCTGTGAGTTTTTCAAAGTTCCTGARGGACCTGTTGGTTCTGAACCACTGCCACATTGCTGATAACTCCAGGTCCATGAAAAGGGACCTGTTTTACCCATTCGACTGACAAAGAAAGGCCTTGGTCTGTGCTGCTGAACAAGCATCTACCCAGAGCTGATGTCTGGTCTCGTTTGGAAAGGTCCCGGGCTACGGTAAAGTTCTTAATGTGTGCTCAACCTGGTCCACAGGCTCACAGCTGAAACACATAGTTTAGAGCAGGAGTTGGGTCTGGGGACCCCTTACAAGGGTGAAAAAAATTCCAGGGACCCCCTCATAAACCAAATGCTGCTTTAAAAGATAATTTATTGTCATTTCAACCCCTAAATGCCATGGGAATATACTGTATATATTTTGTTGAGTTTATTATGTTTGTTTTATTAGTTCATTGTTCTCCATGCATTTTAAAAAATAAAAACCAAATTAACATTTTAGTAAAAAAAAATTTGTGGACCCCCAAGATGCGTCTCGCGGACCCCAGGGGTTCCAGGGACCCCAGTTTGAGAACCTCTGGTTTAGAGAACCTTAAAAGGTTTATTTGTCTTGTCTTGCTTGTCTCTGTCTGTCTGTCTGTCTCTCTGTCTCTCTCTGTCTCTCTCTGTCTCTCTGTCTCTCTCTGTCTCTCTCTGTCTCTCTCTGTCTCTCTCTGTCTCTCTCTGTCTCTCTCTCTCTCTCTCTCTCTCTCTCTCTCTGTCTCTCTCTGTCTCTCTCTCTCTCTCTGTCTCTCTCTCTCTCTGTTTCTCTGTCTCTCTCTCTCTCTGTCTCTCTCTCTGTCTCTCTCTGTCTCTCTCTGTCTCTCTCTGTCTCTCTCTGTCTCTCTCTCTCTGTCTCTCTCTGTCTCTCTGTCTCTCTCTCTGTCTCTCTCTGTCTCTCTGTCTCTCTCTGTCTCTCTCTGTCTCTGTCTCTCTCTCTCTCTCTGTCTCTCTCTCTCTCTCTCTGTCTCTCTCTCTCTCTCTCTCTCTCTCTCTCTCTCTCTCTCTCTGTCTCTGTCTCTCT